ACGAGTTCAGATAGTTTTACAATACAAAAATTATGTTTGAATTAACTTTCTCTCTTAGTATCTTTCATCTCCTTCTTTGGCTTTTTCAGATGAGTATGATTTAGGACCGCTGACATCTGCTGGTGGCTCTTTTTCTCTCAAGTCTTTCTTTACTTTCTTTTCAATTCCTTTTTGTTTACAATATTTTGCAATTTCAACCGACAAGTTTCTATTCTGTTTTGGAAGTCGCGATCGTTTAAAAGATTTCGTAGATACTTTATTCGTAAACTGTAACGGCGAAATCCATCACTTTCGTCTGATATCTCCACACTGGACTCAACGCTCTGGTGTGATGAACATGTACAAACAATCTCAAGGGAAAAGTACATTGCTGAAGTTCTCTTTCGATGATGGTCTTTACAGTAACTTTGTCATTGGGCCATATACTTTGACAATGATATCATTAATGTTGCGGTAACCATGGTGAATGCTAGATTTCAAATCACATGGTGCCTCAGGCGAAGAATTAGAGATCCAAAAATATTAAGTCTACCAATATATGAATTGGTGCAAGAGAAGAAACAACGAAACAGTGCAAGAGAAATTGTTGTAAATGTTGGACAAACAACGAAAAGCAACAAATCGCTAAATGCCACGTGGTAACCAAAATATATTATGAGCCTCACGGCAAGAGAAAATAATCTTGGTGATCATCCCACGATCATTTATATTTGAGAAAGTTCTTTACATATTAAACTCTTATAAGGTTATGTCCCAAAAAGCTTTGTTATTGACAAGTGACTCAATCATAAAAATCATTAAATGCGGATGCAGACATAAGGCAACACATATTAAATGTGAATGTGCCAAATATGAACTATCATTTACTTCAAAAATATTAGTGAAATACTTATGATGTTGCAATGGGTTTGGTGATGACGTTTTATCCATGATGCAAGAGCGTGCGATAAGTTAATTTTCGTTCCAATCATGAATGTCTCTATCCTATTTCACATATTACGCTTACATGCTGAAACGAATTAGCTCCATTTTAAACTTGATAATCCGGTCCAATAATCATGCCGTATATTTTATGAAACTAATTTATTTCAGAATGTGAATGCGATCTAAAAGATTTTATGTTAGTCTTGTGCATATTTATTTCCAAAACTTAGTCAAATTCTCTTCGAACAGTTTTTTATTAACATTATGTTGTCATCTTCCAATACACATTCTTGTCTCTTTACATCTACTTTTATTTCTCTTCTCTGTATTATTGTTACCAAGCAA